TTATCTAGCTTTATAGAGTACCTAAGCCTATGGAATGGTTTTGTGAACGGGCTTTTTCCCATTTTATATCAGAAATACACGTGGACAAAGTCGCAAGCAAATGCTAGTTCAGCATATAAGGATGACTCGGAAGACTTGATAGACCCTCGTGGCACCTTCTAATAGGCTCTCTAATGAAGTGTTGCACCCAATAAATTCAATTTGCTTTCAGTTTTTTCAAATCACAAGATTAATTCTGTTTTAAATGCGGATAAAGCACATTTTTTTAAATGATGTTTCTTGTCAGCTCTATAACTCGCTTACGGTTAGTCCTACAACAAAAATGCAAAAGACCATTTTTGTAGTTGGCTTTAATTTTGATAAGCAGGCAAAAACCGTTAGGAGTAATAGTTTCCGAAATATAATCAAAAAAACAAAAAAAGACACCTTTAGCCCCCTCCCTCTCCTCGAGCTCGCCCCCCACTTTCGGGGACTTTTGATATACAGGCTGTATTATGAAAAACGCCCCAAGCCATAATTCCATTATTTTTAAAGTTATGACAATACTTCTTAGAACAAAGTTGAACATTTTTTGTCATCTATCGTTTGGGATAGATGCTAAATTAATTCTGTTTTCTGTTTCACCGTAAATCACATCAACTTAATTTTTTTAAATGGAACACCCTGTATATTTTACCACTTTTGGATTTTTTGTTTAATTGTCTTTTAACAAGTTTTAGTACCATATGCCTAAAACTAAGCGTTCGTGAGATATTCACGAAATAATGTATTTATTAAAGTAGGCAGTGGAAAACAATAATATCAAGTAATATGTTGACAAATATTATTCCTTTGCATTTTCTCTTACTGTTTTTATACTTTTTAATGTTAATCATGGACGATAATGTGTTAACAGACATATTTTGAATAAAATAAAAATTGTGGGAGAGCACTACGCTTTTACACTGGGTGACTTCTGATGAGAGACGTTCCAAATCGTCGAAAATTTAAGCGACTTTAAGAAAATTTGAGGATGTTTTGGTCTTTTAGAAAACCCATATTAAAACATCTTCAATTTCAAAGAGATACAGAATTAGTTAGGTATTAAAGAAAGAACATGAATTCAAGAAATTGCAAGTAACGTTGGCTTATCGCACGCAACTGTTCTAATTTGGGTTTTCTAAAAACCCAAAACGTCCTCTAATTTTCTTCAGGTCGACGAATTGGAAATCGCCCAGTGTAAAGGCGTTGTGGTCTCCAACTATTTTTATTGCTTTCAAAATATTCTTGAATCATGTCTGTTAACACATTATCACCAGAACACCAAAAAGTATAAAAATAATAAGCGAAAATGCAAAGTAATAATATTTGTCAACATTACTTAATATTATTGTTTTCCACTGCCTATTTTAATAAATTTTTAATTGACTCATATCTCACGAACGGTTGGTTTTAGGCCCATGGTACTAAAACTTGTTAAAAGACAATTAAACAAAGAAACCAAAAGTGGTAAAATATACAGGGTGTTCCATTAAAAAAATAAACTTGATGTCATTTCCGGTGAAACAGAAAACAGCATTAATTTAGCATCTATCCCAAACAGATAGATGACAAAAAATGTTCAACTTTGTTCTAAGAAGTATTGGCATAACTTAAAAAATAATGAAGTTATGGCTTGGGGCGTTTTTCATAATACAGCCTGTATGTCTACCCAAGAATAAAGAAAACGTTTAAAAAAATTCCAACTCTAGGATTTTTTTCCACCGATCGCCCTATTTTTGTCTAATTTGACCGGGCTATAAATAAATATACTTTTTTTTTAATAATGCAATTTAGGCTTGGAGAAAATACCCGGAATTTTTATCTCACGTCTGGTGCCAGGCGGTTTGGCGGAATCTACCGGCCTTCTGGCCGTCAACGACGAAGTCCTCGAAGTGAACGGGATAGAAGTAGCGGGGAAAACCCTAGATCAGGTTACAGACATGATGGTGGCCAACAGTTCAAATTTGATAATTACCGTCAAGCCGGCAAATCAGAGAACTGTAGCTCCGGTCCGTCGCGGCAGCTTCAGTCGAAACTCGCAACTTTCAAGCGGGTCGCAACAGTCACACACCACCGGGGGTTCCGACCCCGACGATAAGTACGACCAAGACGAAATTGTTGATCTTACAGGGGCTACCAATCTGGATGAGAGTTCAGAAGATGGTATTCTGCACTTGTAGTTATATTTATTGCTTCCGTTGGCTGTAAGACTGGAATTTTTTTACAGGTTTGAAATTATTTTAACGGTAATTGACTTAAATTCGAATACGGTAGTCACGTAGAGTACCGCTAAGTCATATCTGCATTTAGTGTATTTTTTAATTCTATTCAAAGTACTTAACTGGAACTAGATAAGACTTAAGAAACATTCCCTTTTTATTCCAAATATTTTTTGTATGATTTTATTCCATTATTATGTGTTCTCTTGAATAATTCCATTTATATCATGTTTTATTGGTTACATCTTTTATTATTTTAAGGAATATTATTATCGTTATTCAGTATTTTAGTTACGTATTTTAGAGTATTTGTCCAATGTGTCTCAAACAGAACCAAGTTCTGTCCATTTTGTCGAATTTATATAATGGTGGCTACAACAAAGTATTACATTTTTATTGATTTTCTTGTTATTGTGTCAAAATCAATTCAGTCCAGTCAGTAGGGAGTTTTGCCCTACAATAGGTGGGGTAGTAGTAATTTTTTAATATGTTGTTAAAGGTACAAAAATTATGTTTTTCCAAAATAATTCTACAACAAAAGTGTTCAGATAAAAGTTAAAGAAAGTCTAAAGTGTAACGAGTTACAACGGCAAAAATATGAACATTTTTCCCATAAAATAGTAAAACTCCCCATTTTCGACGATTTTTTTCCGCACCACAATAATTATATAGCGAAATCTATTTTAAATTACACTGATTTTTCTTGTTACATATAGGGTTATTCATAAATAAGACTCGGATTATATGCAAAATGCATATTTGTTATTGAGAGGTATATCAACAAAATTATAAGTTTTCTATGCATATCTGATGTTTTTTGATTAAAATAGGCCAATTAAAAAATGCATATTTTGTCAACTTCGTGCATATTTTAGGAAATATGGCAAATCACAAATTTCTAATTAAAAATTTCAGTTTAAGTTAAAAATTAGACAGTTTAAGAAAAAAGATCCGATTACAAAATATGTTAAAAAGAAAAATTGTTTAAACTTTTGAGATTACCATACTATTAATATTTTTTTCTTAAATAAAACGGTTTCTTGTTTATTGTTTTACAAAGATATGTTCATGCATTTTATAAATGTACAAAAATATTTATTAAAAATGTTGCAATCTATGTTAAAAAAATTATAAACTTTATCTGTTGTCAAAACTTTCTTCGACCGGCCAAGGGGTGGTACGTTTAAACAATTAATTAAAATAAAAAATATCTTGGCATCGCTTCTTTACAACCTTTAAACATTCATCAATTTATTTAAAAAAAAACGAGTAGTTTATTAAAAAAAAAATCTTTAATACTTTTTTAACAAAAAGTGTTGTTTTCAAAAAAAAATTGCACAGCAAAAATTCTTGACATAAGCTCATTGTCTAGAAAAAAAATTGTGGTATATTTCCATTGTTTTTTTAGTATGTTTATCTCATAAGTATAAACAATTAATTGATATTCATTTTTTTTGGAATAGCAATTTTATAGCCATTGTACACCTGCCAAGAAAATTGATAGTTTCGCCAGAAAATAATAATAAATAATAAATGGTTCCGAAGTTATTACAAAAAAAAAATTCCATAGAGATAGGACACGAGTTATTATTTCAATTAACACTGTTTTATAGGTCTATATGTAACAAAAAAAATCAGTGTAATTTGAAATACATATCACTGTGTAAAAAGATTAAAAACAAGTGTAATTTGTTCTTACGAAATTCACCGTTGAAAATGGGGGAGTTTGTTATTTTTCTGGGAAAAATGTTCATCTTTCCGCCGCTGTAACTCGTTACACATTAGACTTAGAAAAAAAATTTTGATACAAAAAATGTGAGAAATTTTGTCTTCTTTAATTTTTACCTGAACACTTTTGTCGTAGAATCAACCGCTGCGGAGTTATTTTTGAAAAATCGATTTTTTGTCAAGGCTTAGATCTTAACAACATATTAAAACATTACTACTACCCCTCCTTTAGTAGGACAAAGGCCTTTTTTGGCCCCTACTCACTGCACTAATTTTACAACAGCTATTTTTTAAATAATGTATATAATATCATTCTAAGTACCTTTAAGATGTGAACATACTGTTTGTAGGTTACATTTTACATTTTTATAAACATAATCATAAAGAAGAGGCCTTTTTTCTCATTGATCATTATAGGGAAAAATTCCGTCCTTGTATTGCCTTGAATCGAGCTTGTGACTTTTTTAATGTAATGATATTGTTAAAGGTACATTTTATGCAAATGTTGGAGTTGCATCACATATTATGTACTTATTAAAAATTATTCGAAATATATATATCTCAAGTTAACGTAACAAATTATTTATTTATGAAATAAAATCAACAATACAAAAATAAGGTGAGTAATTTAGTGGTGGTCATCGGCTGGTTGTTTCACCCAGTAGCCCCAAGGGGCGAAATGGTCATGTCCTTCTGTGGGGCCTCGAAAGACTTTAATCTGGACTCTTGCGTAATCTTGAATTTTTGCAATTAAATATTTTTTTTACAAGAATGGGGGACTTACCGTGATCGGATGAAGCGCCCTCTAAATCATCATACACCGGAATTGAATGTACTTGGGTCAGGTAGAGGAGGGCTACCACCAAAATAATTGCTTTAAGATTGAACATTGTGTTTGATGTCTTTGGGTTAACTGCTGGTTAAATCCCGGCTTTAACTTTTATATATGACTTAAAATTGAAAGCTTATGGCAAACCAGTCAAGTGTGAAATTGTTTTTTGAAACCGAAAGTGTTAAATAAAAAGACAAAGTGAAAGTTATTTCTTCTTTAACCAATTCAGTATTTCTTCTCTTCCTTCACCCGTGATCGCACTTGCTTCAGTTATTGTAACTTTTTGTTTAATTTCCTTTTCAAACCTACGCATTTGTAACATTAGTAGAGCTTCATTGCGCATTTGTCGGTAACTAACATCCATTTTTGTCAATACGAGGAGGAACTGGAATTATGCTCTAATTATTTCGTTTGATAGAAAAAATAATACACACTTTTGCGTTTGCTAGCATTGGATTGGCTATCATCGTGTAGAGGAGGATTCCAGCGGCGCTGATCTGGCACAGATTTGAAGCATCAACGACGTAGATAATTTTTTGAACACTGTTGAAATATTTGGACCACAAGGGGGACATCACACCACCGAGCTCTCGAATGTGGTAAATTTCGTTATCGATTTTTATTGTAAACATGTTGGTGCCGACTGTGGGCACTGAGCTGGCTGTAGTGTCCACATTTTCGATATTTTGAAGCTTTTTTAACAGGAGGGTTTTGCCCGACCCCGTGGGCCCCAAACAGAGGGCCATTCCTGGTTATTGAACAAACAAGTGACTGTTTGTTATTAGCGAACGGTTGCCAAGGTAAGTAATAATCCGGGGCAGGAGCGGATCCAGAAATTAATTTTGGGGGGTCTATCTAAAAAATTTTAGAATGATGAGGGTATACAGTGAGCGGCAAAATTATAGAATAATCTTATTTATTAAAACTGAAAATATTTTGTTTTGGAAAAATGCTCGAACAGGTCAATTTTTTTTTTAAAAATACAAAATTTTTAACTTGATTTAAAATTCTATCTTTATTTTTTATTGATATTATTTCACTTTTTGGATAATTTTTTTTTTTAACTTTATGTAATACATAATATTTTGGTGTTGCCACTTCGACAATTAAAAAATCTATCGAATTCGCTAAAAAAATTACGGGTTTCCATTAAAAAAAAAAATGGCGCTGCCGTTATTACCCAAAAACCAAAGTGTAAAATTTTAAAACAAGCTGAAAATTGTGTATAAGGTGTTCTAGCGAGTTGGTAAATTTCATTATTCAAAGAGATAAAAACTTAATTTAATTAGATACCTAAGATGTGGCCTAAAGAAAATTACAATTGATGATTTCTTTTTAAATTAGTAAAAACTAAGGAAGTATCGAGAGATCAAGATAATTTGTCCTTGTATCCGAAAACGTATGTCCTGTGCGTATGTCTGTAAAACGTCAAATAAAATGACAAGTGGAAAGGTAAAATCTAAAAAAACTTATTTTTATTTGTTGTTAAATTTGTTAATTAAACAATTTGTCTGTCTTAGGAAATGTATTAATTGAACTAAGTTTAATTAAATCATCGCTTTGATCAGCTGCCTACCCGTTATTATGCCACAAATCACTATTTTTGAAAGTAAATAAGTCAAAATGACAAATATGACAAGAGTAAAAAATGAGGTTATTAATATATAAAGGTTGTTTTAGAGTTTACATTATGAAAATGACAGTACTATCCGAAATTTTAATTCCGCAACTGTACGTTTTCGGATCCAAAAATGACTCGAATACAAATTATTTTGATCTCTCGGTATATGTATGATTAATAAGTGTGATTTAAAAAGAGTTCTAATGTTTTCAAATTAATATGTTGTCAAAATTTTGACTTTTATGAATCTTGTGTCCCTGTTTGCTCTTTGGCGCTACAATTGAATACCTGAGGACAGACATCATTACCTAAGGTCTAAAGTTGATGCAATTTATAAATTCTTCTTCAGCTTTAGTTTCAAAATTGTTACTTTTTCAACTCGTTTCTCAAAAACGATGCACAAGACATTAAATTTAATTGCGTTCTTTCCGAGGTTCTTTCTCATTTATGTTTATTTTGTATTCTTGTCAATTTTTTGCTAAAAATTGAGAATGTTTAGCAAACCTGCATTACAAATTGCGCCTACATTTTAACGGGCCTTTTTTCTAACTTCATGCTTGCGAATTATTCGTTTCCAAATTTCTAAAAACTGTTAGTGTACCAAATTTGTTTCTTTTTTGGTGTTTCGTCTCTAAATTTTCTTAGACGATTTTTTGTATTGACGTTGTTTTCAAATTAATTCAAAAAATCGGAACTGCCAACTTCCTTTACTAAATTACCATGAATGAATTTACTAGTGGTGCCAACGTTAAGACTGTTTGGCATTTCCATTAAAAAAAACAGACTTTACTCTCAATTTCATAATAATTTTAGGACGCATACAAAATTGTCTAATTATTAATTAATTCAAAGTTCAAAGTAATTTTATCCAAAGTAAAAGTGTCCATTGTAAAATAATCCAACGTAAAATGATGCAAAGAAAAAACAGCATCCCCGTAAAAAAGTCCAACGATTTAGGAACATGCAGGGCCGCCGCAAGAGGTTTCAACGCCTGCGTGTAAATTTGAATTTGGCGCCCTCTTTTTTTGATAATAAAGTATGGGTATTCTTTTGTACCTATAAAAAATTTATTAACAGAATTTTGTTAAGATTAAAAACTAAAGAGAATTTTTATTATTGGTTATCAAGAAGTGTCAATAAATCAAAGTAATTAATTAAATAGTATTTAAAATGTTTTCTAAAGTTGTAAATAATCAAATAAGTTTTACATTGAAAATTTTACTTAAAAAACTGTACTTATCTGAATTTCATACTACCTACAGTCCCGTTTTATCGAATTTGATAAGACCGAGAAGAGGACCAACGCTACGAAATAAAAATTCGGTTCAAACGGAACAAAGAATTTCTATATTTTTAAGCTTTTATTTGACTGATATTTTGTAAAAAATATAAAATATAAAAGTTTCTGAAGAAAATTTACACTTTTAAAACTCCGCATCATCTATTTTGTTTAAAATATCAACTCAAATTGTGATGAAAACAACTAATACGATTTTGTAACAAGGGCATGTAAGGAGTTTTATGGGTAGTAGCAATATTCCAAGAATCATCTTGATACCGCAATTGTTTAACTGCATCTATTCTGCTAGAAAAAAAATAAATTTCTTGAAATAATCTGAAAAAGTGATATAGTTTCATAGGAAACTTTAGTACTTGTCACTTGCCTCCGCCCCCCTAATTAGAGTACACAATTTGTAATATCAGCAATAGATTTATACAAATTACTTCAGATGTAATCTTTTGTAAATTTATGTCCACCGGTTACTGAGATAATGAAAAAAAAAGATCTTTTAGCTTTTTTTAACTCGTTTAGGAATCATTTCTGAACATAGGTCTTTAGAATTTTTTTTCTTCTTTTGACGTAGGAAACCTGCCCCCAAAATCTTTCAATATTTTTTCCGGACATCCGGACCTCCAGTATGATGACTTTCTCCGCATATTTTGTTGTAATTTGTTTTAAATTATGTTTATGTATTTTATTTTTTTTGCATCTTTTGTTGTTTGAGTAATTCAATTTTTTTATTTATGATTTTATTAAAATTTGTTGCTCGTCTGGCGCCCCCTGGATATGGCGCCCGTGCACCGCACGCCCTGCACCCCCGCTTGTGGCGGCCCTGTGAACATGTTTGGGTGTTGGCAGCATTGACAGACATGGCCCCTGCGCAAGAATAAATAAAAAAATTGACTGATATCAAACGTCTGTTTAAAACAGCAAATTATATCGACTGTTGTCATAAAAAATTGCATTAAATTAAGAAAAACTACTTTATAAAACTCATAAAAACTACTTGGTAATTTTGTTATCAAGTTGGTACTGCAAAGAACACCAAAATCTTTGGAAATTTTTACGCTAGACAAAAATACTTTGGATGTTTTTACGTTGGATAAAATTACGTTTTGCTGTTTTGGACATTTTTACAGTGGACAAAAGTACGGATGCTCCTTTTATTTTGGACAAAATTGAGCTCTCCCTAATTTTATACCTATCAAATATTTGCGTGTTTGTGTTTAAAGAATTCTGGTTCGTCCTTGATTTAATTTCCTGTTTTTCGATTTAAATCCAATATTTGTTAAGGATATGCGATAACCCCTTATCAAAAAGTGTTAATTGCTTCGGGTGACGGTTACGATTTAATTTTTTTCGCTTTGGCGGGCATCTCTCAGCCAATCACCTTTGAGAGTTTAAATCTCGCGCATACGCAACTGCTTTAACGTTTAAAAAGTGACATCCCAAACAGACAACTGCTACAATGAACAAAATTTAATTGAATTCCCTAATTAATAAACAAAAACTCCTCCTACATAATGTTTCTCAGTGATGTGCTGAAAAAAGAAGAATGCCGGAACGAAGCACTTCAGGAATTGCGAAAATTAGGGATCAAGTGTAGACCGAAGAAACCCAAACAACAGGTAAAGGTTATGTTTTTCCGGTCGGTTTTTGTTAAATTCCTCAAATTTTAGAATATCAAAGCAACTCGTAAAGTCTTCAAAGTTCCTTTAAGATCTCTCTCGACAGAAACAGTCACTTTAAAAACCGGACAACAAATTGCTGTTCCGAAACTAGTCCACGAATTGTGTTCATTTATTTTAGCCAAAGTTAGCACTGAGGGGCTGTTTAGAAAGGAGGGCTCCAAAGTTAGACAAAACGAAATCAAAGTAATGCATTTTAATCGATTTATGACACGTTTCACTGATTTGATTCATTTTTAAGTTGTTGCTCAATGGGGGCGGCGCTGTTGATAGCAATTATCACATTATCGACGTCGCGGCGCTCTTGAAAATGTTCCTTAGGGAATTACCAGAGCCTCTAATACCTTACGGGTATCACGAATTATTTTTAAGATGTGCTTTGTTAGAAAAAGGCAAAGTGAGAAAAGAGGCCCTGCTTCTAGCATGTCTTTTGTTGCCTTTGGAACACCTTAACACTCTGAGTTATCTACTGCAGGTAAAATTTTTTTGGAATCTACAAAGTGAACAAAACTGTTTTGTAGTTTTTTTATGACGTAACGCAACACTCATTCTCAAATAAAATGAACACTTATAATCTTGCTATAGTCATAAGTCCTGCAATTTTTCCCATTGAAGAAAAATTGACACCATATAACATGCAAATGAGGACTGCGAAATTTTGTGATATTGTGCAGGTAAAAAAAAACAGTTTTTAGTTAATTTCTTGACAAAATTAAAATATTTTAGATTTTGATAGAAAATGCACCAGAAGTAGGAATTTTACCAGAGGGCATTATCGAACGTTTAGGATCGAATTCAAGTGTGGATTTGAAGAAGAAAAAACGGCGAAGTGGATCTCTGACAAGTAATTTTTTTACAAAATTAATAAAACTACTTTGCTGTAATTCTTAATAAATTTTTGCTAAATTGACTTTGTTTGTTAGGGATGTTCAATGGCCTTAAAAAGATAGTTGGAGGAAAATCGGAAGAAAATCACAATGTGGTTACCCCAGACTTGTTATTAACTCCTATTAACAATAATGTGGTGAAAAGACGACGAATTCACTCGAACGGAATTTCGAATAAAAAAAAGTATGTTGAAAATATTTAAATTTTTTATTTATATTAATTTTGTAGGAAGGAACTGTTGAATAAATTACCTGACAATGTTTTGTTAAATACGCCTTTTACACCATGTCGCACTCCAGTTAGCATGGATTTGAGGTATGTTTTTAGTGTTTTTGTTTCCAATTTTAATTATCCCAAATCATTACAGTGGAACACACGAAAATCAGTTGAAAGAAACGAATGACTTGTAAGTAAATTTCCTGTCGCTTTACAATTTTTCTAATGACTTTATTGTGATAGAATCAAGGAGAAAAAGTGGTTTTCTCGGAGCCGAAGCGTAAAAAATCTAAAACACGAAACTGAAAGTAAACCATCAAACACAAAAGCTTTATTAGAGCGTCGTTGGTCGGCAATAACTCAACCCAACAACCTTAAAAAGACCAAAAAGCGCAATTCCTTTGCCGCAACATCGAAAAAAGACGAACCTGACTATATTCGAGTTCCGAAAACCGAATACGAAGCAATCAAAAATCGAGTTTCCGCAATGGAACGCCAAATTTCACAAGAACTGGAAAACGTGCAATCACGAAACGAAAATAATGAACAAGTTGATTTAAATATTCAAAATGTTCAAACTGCGTATGAACAAACTTTAGTCCAGTCAAAATTAAGTCCGACCACTGACCACTTGGCGAAGAGATTGAGTCGAGAGTTGAAAATTCGAAGAAGTGCCGAACAGAAAATTATTCGATCTCCCAGTGCTCGAAAAATTGGGAGTATGAGAAGAAAATCCCTGGAGAAAAATAATGTCAAGTTGGGGCGTCACCAGTCGTGGCATGTTGCCACACCTAGGGTTAGTTTGCGTAGGGGGAAACCCAACACAGTAATGACAGGTCTACCAACTTTGGACCATAAAGAAATCAAAAGGACGCGCTCTTCATCAGTCGGCGAGCAAATTACAAGAAATGTTTCTTGTAATTTATCTGGGAGCTCGAATGATACTTGGGTGAGCGCTGAGGGCTTTTTTGACACCTTGAAATCGAACAACGACTCCTCGCTTAACGGAAGAGCTTCTTTGGCTCGTCTCAGGAGCCAAAACGCTGGAATGGTCCTCGCTAAAGCCAAACTCTTTGATAAATTAACCGACTCGGACAGTTCGGGCTCGAATAGGAGTCTCCCGAGGGTTAAAACCGGAACAAAAATCGGCTCTTGTAGAGTCGCCGATTCGCATTTATCATACAGAGTGAGAAGTTTGAAGTATGAGGAGAGAAAAATTGGAAAGAAGAGTATGTCGCCGCGAAAACGTTACGGAAATTTGACGCAGAGACAAAAGTTGCAGATTGCGAAAACTTGTTTGGAGAAAAGTAGTGATAAGGAAAATATTCCTGATGGTTTTGAAATAGCGAAAGACTGTAGTAACCAAAAATTTGCGTCGCCGAATTATTCGACACCGAGAGTGCCCCCACATATCAAGAAGTCGCTTTATGTGAGGTCCCCGAAGAGGTTGTGTCGGACACCGGGTGGGGCGGACCGGAGCACACCGCTCAGGGTTTTGATTAATTAGAATTTTTCAACATCAAAATTATTGGATATTATATATTTTTGCCTTAATTATGATTAGTAAAATGACCCAGTTGCTTAAGAATATAGTGAAACAGTCTTGCGACTGCTTTTATACTTTTTGTGAATTGTATATTCGTTTTTAAATAAATAAAACTGAAAGTTTTTTTATTTTTTGACACGTAAAGTTGGCTTTAAAGATTCCATGACAAGGCACTGCAGATTTTAACTGGTAGTAAAAGTAGGCAATGTTTTCTCCGTTGTATTAAAACTTGCCTACCGCAAACATTTTTTTTTTTAATATGACACATTTTCTCGTTTTTTATTAACTGTTTAACAGTATTTTAAACAATTTTTTTAAGAGAATTAAATGATTCAGTGACGACATTGCACATCGTGTGACAAATTATCTTTCTTTATGAACTTTTAATTGCTTATTTGTACAAAACACTATTTTACAGGGTTTTGTGTTTTAATATTTCTATTAGTTTAATGACTTTTTTTTTGAAAGTTTATCTCAAAATTTAATTTCAAACCTTTATTAAAAAAACAACTCTACATTTTTTAGTACTATTGTGGTGCACAGGTGTATTGTTGATTGCGTAACTTAGTACGAGTTGCGTTAAAAAAGGAAACGAAACAAGTCGTAACGAAAACATTATCAAAGCAATAAAGACTTTCTGTAAAAATCAAATAGAATTCTAAAATTATCGTTTTTAAATTAAGCCCGTTTTAGTTACAAACGAAAATGGGCCTTTCCGTCTAGGGATATTCGCTTTGTTATGTTGATTGTTATTTCCACTTGTGACGCTTGTCACTTGTCACATTTCAAATTTGAAACAAAAACGGTTTTTCATTCATCTTAAATGTTATTAAAAAATACAGAAATGGAATTTGAGACGGTGAAAGCTAGTGATGTAGTGAACATATTTAACGCAATTCAGCAAAGTTCAGCGGCCCATTTACATTATGCCACTATACTGAAAAATGCCCTCAATAATGTAAGTTAACCTGAATGTGTCTCCTTATGTATTACGAAAATTTTGAGATTCTGGTTTGTGGTAGGTATTTGGCCTTTACGCTGCTTTGTTCTATTTGCACCTTCACCAAGTTTTAAGACACCCTGTCAACCAGAGAAATTTTAACTTCCAGTTGTTGCACTTTTAGGAGGATGGCAATGAACTTTTCAGTACCTTTTGCAAGTGTCTACATAAGACATTTTTTGTCACTTGTAAGGAAGATATTTACAATGGAAGAATTTTCAAATTTGTGCTCGTGCTAGTCACGACATTTAAACCAAAAAATGACGATGTAATTCACCCAATCTTAAGAAAGATTATTCAGCATCTCATATCTGTAAGCAATTTAATTTGAGAATTATACCAACAACATTAAAATTTAGCTCTCATACTTAGACAATGAGCCGCTCCGTTATTGGTCTTGCAAATTAATTAATGGGATCATGAAAAATGTAGAGGAAATCGATGACGACCTGTTTGAAGAATTTAAAAACGCAATGATGGAACGACTGATGGTAAAGACAATATGTTTCAGTACTTTTTTCTTACTTTTTTCTTAATACTAGGATCCAAAAGCGGCTATAAGAGGTCAAGCTATAACTGCATTGCATCGTCTACAGGACCCTTCAGACAAAAATGATCCCATAACTCGTGAATTGTGCACTCTCATTAATTCTGATTCGTGTGCAAAAGTAATAATTTAACACAGAATTATAAATTTTTTAAATTTATTTCTTACAGTTGCGTCAGGTGTGTGTAGAAAAAGTAGCTATAAATAAACACGTTCTCTCCCTGGTCTTGGAAAGAATGAGAGACATTCATTTAGATGTTAGACTAGCAGCTTTTGAAAAAATACGTCCACTAATCAAATATTTGAATGTAAGTCGACTCTTTTAACACAGGGTGACAAAAAAAGTCATGTGACAACTTGACAAATTATATATCATTTTGTTCGTCTCAATGAGACAAATCAAATGCACTAAAAACAATTTTAAAAGTCCACACACTTTGAACTAAATATTTTTTTTCTATTTAAATACTTTAACTTTAAAAAAATATTACTCAATAAATATTAGACCGATTTCCTTCAAATAAAGACCATTCTAAAGGGATGAACGTGCCATATGCAATTTGAAATTCAATATTGGCAAACTTTTCTTCGAACAGTGTTCGAAGAAGTTCGAAGTAAATCGAAATAATCTAAGAAAAACCCTACGAGTAGTCTTTTTTTCTTCGTCACCATTGTGTAAAGCATCTTTTTATTGATAAGAATCCAAATTTTAAGATATGATTTTTTGAAGTTAAGGTTTGCTGTTCAGCTATTGTGCCATATAGGAGAAATACATGTTAATCTTACTTAAAGTTGCATTTTTATAAAAGTATTTATTTTCAGACTCTTCTTTGCTTAAAAATGGTCAATTGCACCTTCTATGTTCTAATTAGAATAAACAAAAACTGTTTCTTTACTTAAAACAAATAAATTGTACCTGCGTACTAATTAAAGCAAATAAAGAGTTTTTTGTTGTAAAAATGACCACTGATCATTGAGCAAAGAGGAAGGCACGAGCCTTAAGCATTTGCTGAGAACATTTTCAAAAAAAAGTTCAGAAAACTAGAATAAAGTGAACAAGTCGAAATCTGAATGGAAAGTCATTTAATTTGAAAAAGATTTGTTCTTATATTTAAAGCTATTGCTTTAAACTTCTAGATCCTTTTTGCTCAATGATCAGTAATCATTTTTAGAACAAAAAAACTCTTTATTTGCTTTAATTAGTACGCAGACACTCTTTGTTTGTTTTAAGTAAAAAAATAGTTTTTGTTTATTCTAATTAGAACAAAGAAGGTGCAATTGACCATTTTTAAGCAAAAGAAGAGTCTTAAAACAAATACTTTTATAAAAATGCAATTTTAAGTAAGATTAACATGCATTTCTCCTATTTGGCCCAATACCTGAAACCTGAAGCAAACCTTAACTTCAAAAAATCATATCTTAAAAACTACTCGGTATATTATTTTAAAAATTTGGATTACAACTAATAAAAAGATGCTCTACACGATGGTGACAAAGAAAAAAAATACTCGTAGGGTTTTTCTTAGATTACTTCGATTTACTTCGAACTTCTTCAAATACTGTTTGAAAAAAAGTTTGCCAATATTCAATTTCAAATTGCATATTATCCTAAAGGGCAAGTCCATCCCTTTAGAATGGTCTTTATTTGAATGAAATCGGCCTAATAGTTATTGAGTAATGATTTTTTAAAATTAAATTATTTTAAATTCATTTAAATTAGAAAAAAAAGATTTAGTTCAAAGTGTGTGGACTTTTTGAATTTTTTTAATGCATTTGATTTGTCTCACTGAGACGAACAAAATGATATAAAACTTGTCAAGTTATCACAACATAACGTTTTTTTTTGTCGCCCTGTATAATTTGTAATTACACAAATAGAAAATTTCTTTAGTTGTCTCAAAGGCGTTATATATTACAATGTGGATTTACTGATTCATCACAAAAAGTCCAAGATTTTACGTCAAATGTTTTGGTAAAAAGTTGGTTGGAAGATTACACTAATGATTATGTGAGGCTAATTAAAGCAATTCGATTGGATGCTAGTGTAGACGATATTAAAAAAACTACTTTCTTTGCTGAGAAAATGCTACAGGCATTGTTTAAGTAAGAATTTTTACACAGTAATGTAAGTAAAATAAAATTTATTTATAGGTACACTCCAATCGATGAAATAATCTCTTGTGTTAATTTAAATGAAGAAAAATTAGTAGAATATGAAAAACTCAACTGGGATACTATCTTGTATTATAGGATTGTTGTGCAATTCTTGCAACAATCTCCCGAATTTGAAGATACTTTAAACACCATTTTGCCCGATTTAGTTTTGTTTTGTAAATACATCAAAGGGTGCGTTAAAAATAACACCATCTGTTTACCAATGTTGCCATTTTTAGGTATATTGAATTTATCAAAACTAAAGAGAATTTCGATGAATTGGAATACCATTTCATTCTAAAACAATTTTTTATTATTACTGAAACATACGATGTTAGTGATAGTGCAAGTCGCCAATGTTTAAATTCCCTAATTCATGACATACTGAAAAAAGAGGCTTTACCAACAAGTGTGGAAGAAATTATAATACGCAATTTGGAAAAGACTATTCCGAGTACAAATAGTCGATTGGTTTTTGTCTGCGAGATAATATCTGATATCCTTTACGGTGAGGAAGAAGTAACTTATGAAGAGTTTGAAAGACAAGAAACGGAGAAAAACCACACGGTATAGGTATACTCAAATTATTTTTTTTTTAAGTAATTAGAATCATCCAGATATCTCAACTAAATTCGGACATCTCATCGCTACTAGAACAGGAAAAATATTATGCTTTTGTTGAAAAAAACTACTCTGAGGCTAAACGCATAAAGGAGGCAATTTCTGAAAAACAAACTGTCTTGGAGAATCTCAAAAAGGTGCAAGAGAAACCAGAGATGGAGAAAAAGACCGATTTGGCAACAATGTTGAAATGTTTAACTATCACAGAGGCACTTTTGCTTTGCCCTAAGGTGAATTACACCCCCGTAATTGCCACTTTGACTATTGAACACATAAACCCTGCTATGCTGTATGACGATTCAAGAGTGCAAGCGAAAGCTCTCAAATGCTACGCCTTGTGTTGTCTTATCGACAGAAAATGTGCCATTCACGGCATTCATTTATTTTCTTCTATGGTTATTTCACCCATCATAACCAAAAATTATGAAATTCTTAAACTTAGCTTGCAAGCCGTCACCGATATTTTGATCTTGTATGGAACAAGTTTAGTTGAAGAAAAAGACGAAGAAACGGGTGAATCGGAACCAGCAAATATCTGTTTTGTTGGGGGGACTTCTTTGACGACTCTTATTCAAGCAGTCATCAACTACATGCAAGACGAGGTAATTGAAAAATAAAAATAAACCCAAATTTTACAAATTTCCCAAAATTAAGGATCCGGAAATTGAAGAGACTGCCAGCCATTGTGTCTCCCTGTTATTGTTGCGAAACCGTCTCATTGCATCTTCAGTTTTATCAGCACTTATCATAAAATGGGCAAATCCGGCAACAAGTAATTTTTTATTTGTTTGTATTTTTTCCAAGCTTTTAGTTTTAGGCAATGATGGTGTAAAACAATTCATTGGCTATACCTTACAATCACTTACAACTTTACCAAATTGTGAATACTTTGCCGATGCGGTTTTGAGTACAATGAAAACTATAATCTATGCTCCTAGAAAAAGTCCTTTATGTGAGATTGATATAGACAATATTATAAAATTTATGGTAACTTTATGTCAAATGTGTACTCAGGTAACTGTTAATTTGTTTTAAACCGGATTTGGGTCAAAATGTGGTTTCAGGGGACTGAAATTCTCGCTGATTTAGCATTTAAAATGTGTAATCAAATGCGGGAAAAGCCGAAGATCAAGATAAATCCCTATTTTACTAAAACACTTTCAATGATAGATTTATCAAAGAGTCAAAGACTGGACAGTATTTTGTATATATGTAAAGAATTACAAGACGTAAGTTTCAGGATTTTTTAAATGTTTGATGTGATGTTGGTTTTTAGGTTATTGATAAACAAAGTTTAAAAAGTATTACGAAGTTTATTACAAACGCAACAAAAAACGTAAAATTAGTTCCCATCACTGAAGAATAAATAAGTGCAATGATTTATTTTATTTAATATTTGTACATATAATTTTACTAAACACTTTTCCTAATTTTCATTGAATAAAAAAAAGATAAGAAAACGAGTACGCGTGTTATTTCAGACGCAATTTTGCCCTTTTTATACAATTTTTAAATTGTTTAGCTTATTTAATCATTTATTTTATTTGTTAAAGCCGTCTGACACGATGTTAAATTTTACATAAATTCTGCTTCTAGTTCTCTAATAATAATAACTGAAAATTATTATGCTAATTACATGATAAAGATGACCATGGGCGTCGTTACAAAAATTTTTAGAGAGAGGCAACCTTATCGTAGTTTAAAAACACATATTTTATTACAAACACAAAAACATATTATATAAAAATAGGAACATAAAACCATATTTTTCCTAACGAAAATTATAAATGAAACAATAAGACAAGGATCTCTAAAACCATACATTGAAATATAATATGTATACACAAACCAGTAAATAACATAAAGCAATAAATTTTTCTTCTTCTTGGTATGGAAACGATGAACAAAAACACGATTAGTCCGTCACACCAAACTTTTATTTTAATAGCACAACGCGTTTCAACCACAAAGTGGTCATCCTCAGGTGAGAATAA